CATTATGTGCCCCCCTTAGGGAGCTTCACCCTCTCTATTTGTCCTGTTTACCATTACCATCGAAAGTGAAAGAAAACGTTGTCAGCAGGCGTCAGACAGGCGTTTGGGAAGCATTTTAAAGCTTCTCAAACGCCTATGAAATTCAGGAGGAGTTGAAGCCTCCCATTCAAGTCTATGGTGCCGCCTTGCAAATGCAGGCGTTTGCGGTGCGGTAGCCAGGCGGTTGCGGAGCGTTACTACCATTTAACTTCATTACAGGAGTTTGTGGTGCGGTTTTAACCTGCATAGGGCGTTTTGGGAGTGTTTGAGGAGTGTTAAAAACGCTTCACAAACGCCTGTCAAACGCTATAGGGGCGTTTGGCAAGAGATAGAAATAAAGTCAAGTGTGAACGAGCCCTAATTCTAGTGACCTGGGGTTCTCAAGGAATTTCTTTAATTTTCAGGGAATTTCTCTCACTTCCTGATTTGGCTAAGGGACTGGAAGTGAAAATAAATCTCCCCAATGGGACGAAGGTGGCAAAAAATAAACTGACAGGGGTTATAATTATAACCCTCCTCTACCCAATCCAAAATGAAAAAAAAAACATTACATAAAGCTAACATTTCCCGTTATAAAAGTGTCTGCTTAGTGAATCATAACATGTTAAAGTCAATAATAAAAGCATTACATCCTAGCTCAGACTCTATGAATAGCACTGAGTCGTGTTTAAAAATCGCTCTGCACGTCACATGTCTATGAATGCTGATGCACCTGGGAGGTTGCATCTCCCATGATTCCACCTCTGTTATGCAGAGCTAGGAGGCAGGTAAAGCTGAGGAATTCAGACAGGAGGTTCTCATACTACTGGCAGCACTGGTGTAATCATTCTGCCTTTCCAAAACTGTTATTATTATTATACAGAATTGATATTATTATTATACAGAATTTATATAACAGTTTGCACAGGACTTTACAATATAAAGGGAATACAATACAGTTACAATATAAGAAGGTTAGGAGGGTTCTGCTGATAACAGCTTACATCGGGCTTAGCCTGTGCAAAGGTAGACCTATGAGAACGGAGTTGCAATACTGTAGACAAGGTAAGAGATAAGGGAGTGAAAGAGTAGCTTGGTGGTGTTATTAGTTACAAATGGGTGAATTGTACAGATGTTATGGAGGTGAAGTCTGCAGGCTTTTGATCTGGGACTGAAAGGACAGATCAGAGTCTAAGATTACACCTAGTACCCTGGCATGAGGGGAGGGACTGATCTTGATGGAAAAGTCAGGGATGGCACAGGCAGGGAGAAATATTACAAGCTTGGTTTTAAAAAGATTTATTTTGTGGAAGTGGTGTGTCATCCATACAGATATGTCAGTTAGTAATGCAAAAGGAGACTGACTGAGTGAGGCGAGGAGTAGAGAGATAGATTTGGGTGTCATCAGGGTAGAGGTGATATTGGAAGCTGTGGGAGGTTATCAAGTGACCAAGAGGGGAGGTGTAGATAGAGAAGAGAAGGGGTCCAAGAACAGAGCCTTGGGGACCCTTACAGAGCTAAGATTTGGAAAGGAGGAGACTGTTATAAGTAACACTATGATAGATAGATAGATAGTAGGAGAACCAGAAAAGAGCAGAATTTTGGAGGCAAAGGGAATGCAGTCTGAGGAGGAGTGGGTGGTCAACAGAATAAAAAGCCGCAGAAAGGTCTAGTAGTGAAGTGTGGAGTAGTGGTTGTTGGTTTTAAAGTTAGTAAATCATTGAGTTTTAGTAGGGAAGTTTCTGTGGAGTGCTGCGAGCAAAAGCCAGTCTGTAAGGGGTAAAAAAGGTTGTTATCAATGAGGTAGGAGCTCAGATGGCTGTAGACTAAGGGGCTGATTTACTAAAACTGGTGCAAAATCTGGTGCAGCTTTGCCCAGAAACCAATCAGCTTCCAGATTATTTTGTCAAAGCTTAATTGAACAAGCTGAAGTTAGAAGCTGATTGGCTACCATGCACAGCTGCACCAGATTTTCCACTCTCCAGTTTTAGTAAATCAACCCCTAAGTGGTCTAAAAGTTTAGACATAATGGGAGCAAGGACATAGGTCATAAGTTGTTCAGGCTTATGGGGTCCAATCTTGATCCAGCGCTGTCCCACTCCTAGTAGGCTCTGAGACAGCAGCGGGATGCTTTGCTGCCCGCTGCTGTCAATCACAGCCAGTGAGAAGGGGCCAAGCCGCGCTGTGTGTCAAAGGATTACTAGCAGCGCACACAGTGAATGACCTGTTAGCTAGGTGTCTAATCACACAACAGAAGCAAAAGAATGTTACATCACTTTCACTTTCAATGAGAAACATGTCATCACTTTATGTATGTAAAAATAAAAATGCAACATGCTCTATGGCTTTTTACACATTGAGTGGCATTTAGCCCTGGTTTACACCAGTGTGACTTGTCATGCGATTTGGCAGTTGCAAACCGCATGACAAGTCGCACTCTATTGTCGGGAATGAAACTGGTCAAGTCAGTGTGACTCCACTGAAAATAGTTCCTGCACTATTTATGGCAATTTCAAGATTTGCATAGACATCTGTGAATGAAGTTGCGCAAATGTCAGGCTAGTCACACCTTAAATCACACCGACTTTTGGCTTTCAAATCGTGCTACTTCATGTTGAGAACGTTCTTGTCCTGCATCATCAGAATGGCTAACTGATAAGGTAGCTCAAGAAACAGAAAAAAAGTGTAATTGTTTTCTGGTGTTGGTTTCTAGAGTTTTTTAGCTGTAAAAACACTCTAATGCTGCAAAACGCAGTAAAACCGGTATTTTTGGATTTTTTTTGAGCAAAACATTTTTTATGTGTAAAAAAATGCTAAGAAACACAAACGTGGAAAAACATGCCTAAACGCTAATGCAAAAACGCTAAACAACTTTACACAGCTAATGCTACCAGCATTATTAGCCTCTTCACGCTTGCCGAACGCAAATGTGCGGCCTGCCGGTGTCTGCGCCTAGACGCCAAGCGGCCGCACATTTGCGCTCTATTAAAAATAAACATATGTGCTGAGAGCGCGCGCCCTACTCGCTCCCAGCACACACTGTCTGGTACTCATGGAAAGGTCCCGATCTCCTTTTTCGATCGGGACCCTTTCCGATCATGTGACCGCCGCGATGGTATGTCACATGACCTTAAACTCCGCCCCACCTCGCGGCTTCTGAAACCAAAATCATTGGTCTTTTTATAGCAAAAAAATTTAAAAACGCACAGGCGATCAAATACCACCAAAAAAAAGCTAAATTCTTCGGAAAAAAGGACATAAATTTCATTTGAGTGCAGCATTGCATGACCACACAGTTGTCAATTAAAGTAATGCAGCGCCGTAACGCAAAAAATGACATGGTCAGGAAGGGGGGTAAATCCTCAGGAAGGCAAGTGGTTAAAATGCGCAGTGTGCATGGAGCCTAATAGTGTGATCCCAGGCTTACTAATCTTTCTGCAGTTGTGTGCATCGTTCCATTGACAATACACCTGTGGAGTGGCGTTTTTTTTACTCCGGTGAGCAAGAGGCCTAAAGCCTCTTTCACACGGGCGTTCCGCGTGTCCGTTTTTCATCTGTCCGTTTACGGATGAAAAACAGACCCCCGTGTATTTCTATGGAATTCAGGATGTAAATGGATGAACATCTTTTTACATCCGTTAATGTCCGCATCCGATAACATCTGTTTTTTTGAACAGAAGAAAACCCTATTCTTTTTCCGCAAGAAAAAACAGAACGGACGAAAAACGGATGTCAACGGATTGTATGCAGCTCGGCAGGTCAGGAAAGGGGGGGGGGGGAGACGAGCGAGCGCCCCCCCCCATCCTGAACCATTCCAGGCCACATGCCCTCAACATGGGAGGGGGGGGGTATGAGTTTTTAGTCCTCAGCTGTCAGAGGGGTTCCCCACTGACAGCTGAATGTTACAAAAAAAACAATTGCCGGGGAGGAAACATCACCCGTGTGACATCATTGACTGGGGCATGCTGGTCACTGACATCATGCGGGGCAGGGTCACATATGTGATGGCCCTGCCCCTTACATATTTAAGAACTGTCAAACCAGCTCAGAGGCAGACGGCTGGGGGCCAGCGTTGGGAGTGTTTGTTTTTTTTTCAGAACAACAGCAGCGGGCATCGTGATTGCCGTTGGATCTACTTCGGGGGACATTCTTTTATTTTCCTTCTTTTAATAAAGGACTTGTCAAATAATGTCACACTTTTTTTTGAGAATGAGTAGCGGTACCATGTACCCTATACTCATTCACATGGGGGGCCTGGGATCTGGGGGCCCCCTTGTTAAAGGGGGCTTCCAGATTCCGAAAAGCCCCCCCGCCCGCAGACCCTCACAACCACAGCCCAGGGTTGTAGGGAAGAGGCCCTTGTCCCCATCAACATGGGGACAAGGTGCTTTGGGGGGGGGAACCCCGCCCCAAAGCACCCCTTCATGTTGAGGGCATGTGGCCTGGTTCGGGAGGAGGGGGCACACTTGCTCGTCCCCCCCCCCCTTTTCTGACCTGCCGGGCTGCATGCTCGGAAAAGGGTCTGGTATGGGGAACCCCGCTGACAGCTGATGACTAAGAAACGGATGAGAAAAGGGATGTAAACTCATGTTTATTCTTGGAAATCCGTGAGTGAACTGAAGAAAACGGACCGCTGGTGTGAAAGGAGCCTTAGTGTGTGCAAATATGTGTGCAGGTGTATTGCTGTGACAACACACAGCCATTTCCATCAGAGAATGAGCCTAGAAACATGCAGAGGTCTGGAATGTTCTTCCCAGCCTATACAATCGTATGTGTGTGCCAGACATCCACATCCAGGGGACACAAACACGTTCATTTGCTTCTTTTTCTTTAACCCAGCACGATGCACGTGACAGGAAAGTCCAGAGGTTTTCCCCATTACAGTTCTCTGTAGTACAACGTGCCGCTCCCTCACACAGCACAACGAACGAGACCGGCGGCCACAAGTCAGTGAGTGAACAGTCGGTGCCCCATACTTGTACCTGAACCGCCTCTTCTCCAGCAGCCTGCTCGTAGTGGAATGATGTCAAACGTGGGAGGCGGAGACTGTCCACATTGTGCGGGCTGAGGACAGGGAAATAAAGTTTATTGCCAACAAAAAAAAGAGCTTTAGAACAAACTTTATTATTCATTAGCAAAATAGGCACGATGTTGTCAAATGTAGAATTGTTCCATTGTCCCAATTCTGCAGATCAGGAAAGTGTTCAGACATATGAAGGCACCTTTATAGGAAACGCAGAAATGTCAGTCCTTTCACTTTTATGTATGTTGCCAGGGTTGGAAAAGGTCTCTCATTTGGAGTTGCTGCTCATTTCTTTCTTGAGCCATGTCCCTCTGTCTCTCCTCAGCAGTGATGAGCTCACGGTGCCCAACTAGGATCCGAACCCATGTGAGCTCACTGGGAAGTTGTCACCTGTATGATCCAATCATCTGTAGCCACACTTTTATCTGCCCTTTGTGTATGTGTAGCTGTGGGGCGGGGAATGCCTTGGCCGCAGATGATTGGCTCATACAGGTGACAGTTTACTGGCAGGCTCGCCAACGTGGGTTCGGATCCTAGTCCAGGCATGCCCGAGCTCATCACTATTCCTCTGTTGTCCCTCTCTTTGTTCTAGTATATAGATTTTGGCATAATCTACTATTTAAAGTGATATTAAAGGTTCTGATTTTTTCCTTAAAAAAAAACAAACATTATCCTTACCTGCTCTCTGCAATGGTTTTGTCCAGAGCAGTCTCGATCCTCCTCTTCTCGGATACCCCACTGGTGATTCAGACCCCTCCACCCTGCCCTGCCCCCAGAGGAAGCTGCTTGCACTGGTGTCACTTTTGCATGCTCGCTCATGAGCAACCTCTGTGTCTATGAGACACATAGAGCTTGGCCCTGCCCCCTCTCCCTCCTCACTGGCTATGCTTGCCTTTGGCTTCCACTGCTGTGCCTCAGCCAATGAGGAGGCAGAGACCCAGGAGAGCTTCTGCTCTCCTGCACATTGCTGGATTGGGATTGGGCTCAGGTGAGTATAAGGGGGACCTAAGGGGAGAACTGCAAATTGAATGTTCTTTACCTTCATGCATAGAATGGTTTTAGAACCACTTTAACTTCTAAGGGCCTATTCACGGGGCTGCAGAGGCTTGTACAGCTTGTGTTTATGTGCCCAGAAATGACAGATATTCCATACATGTACATTCCTGTACATGAAACAGCCACCACCAGCAGCCTGTTAAAGACTGACAGGCTGTATAGGTCTTTCCATACACCTGAGTGTTTACATCCGTACAGGACAGATGCAGGGCCCTGGATGCAGATAGGCTTTGTCCAGGGCCATGCATTCATCTCTGTACATATGTTAATGTTCAGCTATACAGGACATTCCATACAGCCACACCTGTCATTATTTCTAACATGCTGATGATGGCAGCCATGCATGCATCTGTTCTGTACGAAAATAAAGACTCAGATGTATGCTTGGACTAGGATTGAACCACCATGTGCGAGCCTGCTAGCGTGTTGTCACCTGTATCAATCATCCACAGCGAGGGCATTCCCCACCATACAGCCACACATATACAAGGGGTATGTATAAGTACTACCACAGATGGGCTCATAGACACACAATGTACAAGCCTCTGCAACAGTATAAAGGGGCCTAAACATTCTAATGCACTTAACCCTTTAACCAATCACTAAAATCTTGCATTTGATTCTTTTAAAAGCCAGTATAAAGGAAAAGTAGTATAAAGAACAGCAAGTAAAGAGGTAGTAAACACAAAACCAAAAATGTAATATATTGCAGTTTACCATCATTAGATGTGGAAGTTGCATTAGTTTTCTTTTTTAGGTGTTTTCCCCTTTGTTTTCACTTAGTGATCTGGCAAGTAACACACCTCCTGTATTAGAGTGCCCCCACTCTGGATGAAGGCGCACAGGGGGGACCTTTGGACAGCAGCATTGTCAGTCTAGGGGGAGGGAAGTGTTAGATGTACTAGTACAGGGCTTAAAAGTTCGAGTCTAGACCTACTAGCCAGGCACAAACCTTACTCTTCACCAGTTGCCCCACCCAACCTTGCCCAGGTCCGCCTCCAATCCCACCTCTGGCCCGCCCCCAGCCATGCCCCCTTAAAGCTTATGAAATTACATTTTTCTTTAGAATAAAGAGTGCAAAATATAAAACTGTATACAGTAATGTATATCCCAGATCCCCTGTACTCCATTATAGTGATATGACATGTATACAGTAATCATTACTGTATACATGTCATGTCACTATAATGGAGTACAGGGGAGGGGGGATATACATAATGTGTACATGTCATATCACTATAAAGGAGTACAGGGGAGCTGGGATATACATTACTGTATACAGTGAGGAACAGAAGTATTTGAACACCCTGCGATTTTGCAAGTTCTCCCACTTAGAAATCATGGAGGGGTCTGAAATTCACATTGTAGGTGCGTTCCCACTCTGAGAGACAGAATTAAAAAAAAAATTCAGGAAATCACATTGTATGATTTTTAAAGAATGTATTTGTCTTCCACTGAGAAAATCATCAGTGTTAATATTTGGTACAGAAGCCTTTGTTTGCAATTACAGAGGTCAGACGTTTCCTGTAGTTCTTGACCAGGTTTGCACTGCAACAGGGATTTTGGGCCACTCCTCCACACAGATCTCCTCTAGATCTGTCAGGTTTCGGGGCTGTCGTTGAGCAACACGGAGTTTCAGCTCCCTCCAAAGATGTTCTATTGGATTTAGGTCTGGAGACTGGCTAGGCCACTCCAGAACCTTGATATGCTTCTTACGGAGCCACTCCTTGGTTATCCTGGCTGTGTGCTTCGGTCGTTGTCATGTTGGAAGACCCAGCCACGACCCATCTTCAATGCTCTGACTGAGGGAAGGAGGTTGTTGCTCAAAATCTCACAATAAATGGCCCCATTCATCCTCTCCTTAATACAGTGCAGTCATCCTGTCTCCTTCGCAGAAAAGCACCCCCAAAGCATGATGTTACCACCCCCATGCTTCACAGCAAGGATGGTGTTCTTGGGATGCAACTCATCCTTTTTCTTCCAAACACAACAAGTGAAGTTTAGTCCAAAAAGTTCTATTTTGGTCTCATCTGACCACATGACTTTCTCCCATGCCTCCTCTGGATCATCCAGATGGTCATTGGCAAACTTCAGACAGGCCTGGACATGTGATGACTTGAGCAGGGGAACCTTCCGTGCAATGCATGATTTGAAACCATGACGGCGTAGTGTTCTACTGACAGTGACCTTTGAAACTGTGGTCCCAGCTCTCTTCATGTCATTGACCAGCTTCTCCCTTGTAGTTCTGGGCTGACTCCTCACCTTTCTTATCATCAGTGATACCCCACGAGGTGAGATCTTGCATGGAGCCCCAGTCTGAGGGAGACTGACAGTCGACTTTAGCCTCTTCCATTTTCTAACAATTGCTCCAACAGTTGATCTATTTTCACCAAGCTGCTTGGCAATTGCCCCGTAGCCCTTTCCAGCCTTGTGGAGGTCCACAATTTTGTCTGTGGTGTCTTTTGACAGCTCTTTGGTCTTGCCCATGGTAGTAGTTGGCGTCTGACTGACTGTGGGGTGGACAGGTGTCTTTAAAGAGCTCAGACAGGGGCTACTAAGTTAGATTAATGAGTGGAGTAGAGGTGGACTATTTAAAGGCACAGTAACAGGTCTTTGAGAGCCAGAATTCTTGTTGTTTCTTAGGTGTTCAAATACTTATGTTCAGCAGTGCAAGACAAATAAATTCTTTAAAAATCATTCAATGTGATTTCCTGAATTTTTTTTCAAAATTCTGTCTCTCAGAGTAGGAATGCACCTCCATTGTGAATTTCAGACAACTCCATGATTTCTAAATGGGAGAACTTTCAAAATCGCAGGGTGTTCAAATACTTCTGTTGCTCACTGTACATGTCATATCACTATAATGGAGTACAGGGGAGCTGGGATATACATTACTGTATACATGTCATATCACTACAATGGAGTGCAGGGGAGCTGGGATATACATTACTGTATACATGTCATATCACTACAATGGAGTGCAGGGGAGCTGGGATATACATTACTGTGTACATGTCATATCACTATAATGGAGTACAGGGGAGCTGGGATATACATTACTGTGTACATGTCATGTCACTACAATGGACTACAGGGGAGCTGGGATATACATAATGTGTACATGTCATATCAGTACAATAGAGTGCAGGGGAGCTGGGATATACATTACTGTGTACATGTCATATCACTACAATGGAATGCAGGGGAGCTGGGATATACATTACTGTATACATGTCATATCACTATAATGGGGTGCAGGGGAGCTGGGATATACATTACTGTGTACATGTCATATCACTATAATGGGGTGCAGGGGAGCTGGGATATACATTACTGTATACATGTCATATCACTATAATGGGGTGCAGGGGAGCTGGGATATACATTACTGTGTACATGTCATATCACTATAAATGGAGTGCAGGGGAGCTGGGATATACATTACTGTGTACATGTCATATCACTCTAATGGAGTGCAGGGAGCTGGGATATACATTACTGTGTACATGTCATATCACTATAATGGAGTGCAGGGGAGCTGGGATATACATTACTGTGTACACGTCATATCACTCTAATGGAGTGCAGGGGAGCCGGGATATACATTACTGTGTACATGTCATATCACTATAATGGAGTACAGGGGAGCTGGGATATACATTACTGTGTACACGTCATATCATTATAAAGGAGTACAGGGGAGGGGGGATATACATTACTGTGTACACGTCATATCACTATAAAGGAGTACAGGGGAGCTGGGATATACATACTGTATACATGTCATATCACTATAATGGAGTACAGGGGAGCTGGGATATACATACTGTATACATGTCATGTCACTATAATGGAGTACAGGGGAGCTGGGATATACATTACTGTATACACGTCATATCACTATAATGGAGTACAGGGGAGCTGGGATATACATACTGTATACACGTCA